CATTCGATTGTACAGTCGAGTACGATGAATTTTTTTCTCCTTTTTTCTTATTCTTTCAAAACTTTTGTGTTACATTCGTTCGTTCGTTCGTTCGTTCGTACCTTCGTTCATTCATTCTTACTTTAAAATCACTTTTCTCATATTCGTTTTTCTTTGATCATTGATTTTTTTCATATCCTTATTAGAGACGACGACGACGACGACGACGAGAGTCTCGTGAGTACGGAACGTTGTCCCATAATGATCTCATAACTTTTAAGCTGTAAGCCATGCAAATCGCATGGAACACGTGGGCGATGGTGCCTCGACTTCCGTGCCACTCGTTCGATATGCTCTCTTTAAATAAAGTGATTTAAATAATTTACTAGTTATAATATCACCGAACGATTAAACTATCTTTTTCCCGTATGATACTTTTTTTCTTTTTTAATTATTTTCTTTCCTTTTTCTTTTCTTTTCTTTTCTTTTTTAACCGTGTATTACGTAGAACGAATTAGATAAAGGGTCAGGTTGTATTTATTACCGTCATTTTCCAAATGTTCGTTTTAAACTCGACCGTACGAACCATCTATTTGGTTAATTTAGAACGATCCGTTTCTAAACCGTGTCCGTGTCGTAAACTCGCTCGTTTCGAGAAAAGCCGACGGACGAAATTCTCTTCTACTAATACTACGACAAATACGACAAAGACGACAAATACGACGACGACGACGACGACGAAGAAGAAGAGAGAAACGATGATGACTCTTGCTGGCAACGGCACGGCGACGATGCATAAACGATAATTCGAGTCCGGATGCGTCACGCCTCTCCACGATTTACCCTTTAAATCACTATTACCATTAAGGGCTATCATCATCATTATCATTATCATCATTGGTTTCATCTCTCTCGGGAAAGCGAAAAAAAAAATAATAGGCGTCGAACCACACGGAGGCGCACGACTAATTTCCTGGACGAAATGACGGAGGGGTGGGTGGGGTGTGGTGAAGCATGTCGTCGTTTGTTCGATATTAAAAGATCTCATTTTAAAGATCGTCCTATTCGTATATGAAGCTATTAAGATAATATTATTATTATTATTAGTTTTTTTTTCGTGGAATTAGATGGAACAAAAAAAAAGGTAAAATTACATTTCTCCTTCGAAAAAGAGAAAAGCCATTGATCGATCCATCGATCTTTTTTCTTATTTTTTTTTTTTTTTAAGAAGATAAACATTCATTATTTTCTTGGACGAGTAAAGAGATGTATAAAATAATAGTGGGGTGGTGGTAGTGGCGGGGATAATGTTATCGAGAGCGCGAGTTTCGAACGTCGCGCCACACCACAGAGAGCGTGATAATTCGTACGAGTTCACGGTGGTCGGGTAAGTGGGGAGGGGATAAGAGGAGCGTGCGCCGAGTCTCGCGCAACTCTCATCAGTACTCGTCCGGTTCGCGTAAGAGGAGAATGTATCGTTCGATCGTTTGATAGTTAAGCGTTGGGGGGGGGTTATTTTAGCAACACGTTTTATTCGACTCGCGTATTATAGACTCACGCGTGCGCGCGCACACGGCACACGCGCATTTTACAATCGTTGTCGTCGTCATCATTTTCGTCGTTGTCATCCTACTCGCGCGAATTATGAAAGTTTACGTAAAATTAAATATCATTTGGTGCACTATTTTTCACGGTATAGAAAAATAGATAAAAGAAAAGAAAGAGAGTGAACGAATTAGTGAGTGTGAGTGTAAGTGAGGTTAAAGATAGATGGACAGACATTTAATTCGTGGTACGTAATGCACGTTGATAAAAAAAAAATATCACGAAACTTTCATTCTGTTGTTATTCTCAACGCGTCGATTTAAAGAGAAAGAAAGAGAGAGAGAGAAAGAAAAATAAAGAAAGAGAGAAGGAGAGAAACCGGACGGGTCCGGGACAACGAGTGGCGCCTCGACGGCGTGACGAACGACGAAGTTTGCCTCCTTTATCGAGATTCCTCTCGTATTTTCAGGCTCGTTGGTGGTGGTGTGCTGCTACCGCGACACTTTCCAAAACGATGAAGAGATTAAGCAAGCAGTAATAACCAACGAATGGATGATACTAATCATGTCGAATAGTGTTTAAACTTTTGGAGAAGAAATCTTCGATCAATCGAAATAATTATCAAAAAGAAAAAAAGAATAATCCCCATTTGAATTTCCCGCGAATTTGTTGTTTTTTTTTTTAAAAAAACGTTGTACCGAAGTTCGCGCGTTCGATATCGATTAGTGTTCAGATCGATTGATCGTTGTTTTATGAATCGTGAAGTGAAAACTATTATTGAAAGTAAAAAGAAGAAGAAAAAGTTGTTGTTATTGTTTTTGTTGTTATTATTGAAGGATTACATCGAGTGTATTTCGTAAAACATCGCGTTATCGATATATCGCGGTGGTGTCAAGCAAGAACGAAAGCAATTGCTGCTAAAGAAGAAAAAGAAGAAGAAAAAGTTAAGTGAAGTGAACTAAGGAAGGAAGGAAGGAAGAAAGAAAGGAAGGAAGGAAGGAAGGAAGGAAGGAAGGAAGGAAGGAAGGAAAGTGGGGAGAGAGGAGGACGAGGACGAGGACGGACCTTTCGCGCGCGAGCAAGTGGGTCAGTGTCCTGGCCGATTGCGAGGAAAGAAGACGAGGAGAGAAGAATTATTTTTCCTAATTTTTCTTCTCCCTCCGTCTCTCTCTCTCTCTCTCTCTCTTTCTCTTACTCACTCTTTTAAGAGATGAGACTATTCGATCATTTTTTATTATACGTCAAAATAACAAAGTTCCGGTGAAAAAGTGAGAACTAGTTAATTTTATTATTATTATTATTATTATTATTATTATTATTATTTTGTTCATTCTATATTTCGTTATTATTCGTTTGAACATTATTTTGTTATATTAATTTTTTAAACGTACCCAAGAGCAAGTTCAACGAATTTTTCATTCTCGTTTCGAGTTGGTTTTATTTTTTGGGGGATTATTTTCGTTACGTTCAGTTAAGTTTAGTTCAGTTGAGTGAGGAAAAGAATTCGTGTTTATTCCACGCTGGATGATGTGCCGTAAAAGAGAATCAAGCAACGACACGTAACGACACACCAAGTTTGTCCCATGACAAACGTCAATAGGATCAGGGTGGTCGTCCTCGGCGGCCCCAGAGTCGGCAAGTCCGGTAAGTCTTCTTTTTCTTTATTTATTTTTATTCATTTCTTTACCTCGTTTTAACCCTTTACAGTCGAATATGAAATAATAAATTCACTACATCGATACTTACTTAACTGTTTCTTTTATTTTTTCTATTCATTTTTCAATATGGCGTATATAGACATATTGTTTTATAATTTTTATAATAATATCTAAAACTTGATACATCGAATTAAATTTAAAATCTACTTAATTAATAATTATTTTATTGTTATTATTATAATTTTACAATTATGTAATTGTTTTTATAATTGCAATAGAAAATGTGTGAACTATAAAGGGTTAACAAACTGTTTTATCGATGCAGTTTACTCTAATCATTTTACGCGGGAAAATTTCTAATAATTAGTTAATTTTTATCGTCAATAATTTATACATTTCAAAGATAATAAAGAGATTGAATAAATTAAAAGAAAGCAAAAGAGAGAGATAAAAAAAATTAGTTAAATATCGAATTATTATTGAAAGGGGTGTAATTCGTGGTGAACAAAAAAAAAATTGTGATTTATATATTTTTAAATTATTTATCCGAATATATACGTATATATACACGTATATTTACACTCTCGTTATAAACGAAAACTGGTCGCATAGTTATTATAAATAAACAAATAATATAACTAAACCGGTAAATGGAGAAGTGTACGATAAGGAAATGTTAAAAATTGATTTGATCGTAGGTGTAAGTTTAAGCGCCAGTTTCGTTTAAACGCGTGTGTAACTGAATATGTGTTTGAACGAAGGTTGAAATTGTGTTTCCGTTTTCTTGCTTGGCATTTATCGTTTTCTTTCTCTCTCTCTCTCTCTCTCTCTCTCTCTCTCTCTCTTTCCTTTTCAAGTAATGATTATTTCTGATAGGTAAAAAAAAAAAAAACACAAAAAAACTAAAAAAAAGATAAACAAAAAAAAATACAAGGAAAAAAGATAAAACTAAACGATTTAATGGTAGCAGTTAGATACATTATCGATAACTCGTATGTTAAATCGAGATCTAAAGGAGACACATCGATTATAAGTCGTAGAGAATGAATATTTGATATCGTAGGCGCCGTATATAATTTCAATAGTATGAGTGTGTGTGTGTGTGTGTGTGTGTTTGTTTGTGTGTTAGTACTTCTAATAAATAGTACCGATCGAATGAAAGTGCCGTTAAGACTGATACCCATAGTATTCGACATAATACTCAGCATTAGTTAACCTGTTAACTCAAAGCTCACATATGAGTGGGAAGTATAAGTAAAAAAAGTACGAATACAAAGCGATGTTAAGGTTGTCCACATTTATTTTTGATAACTTTCAAATAAAACCTATATATATATATATATATATCTTTATAATAGATAGAAAATACATTTTGATAGTAATAACAATCATAATTTGTATCAGTTTAACTATCAAACGTAAATTATACGTCTTTTTATTACACCTTTATCATTTGACAAAGGTCACACAATGTTTGTTTAAAAAAAGAAAAATTCTTCTTTTCTTTCTTTTCTTTCTTTTCTTTTTTTTTATCTGAAGAAGGAAGTAATCAATAATACTAGAAAATGAAATTGTTTAATACGAATTATCTCGTTTCGATTATTTTCGAAATATTTTATCGCATGTGTTTACAGATCGTGCCAGATTAATATCCTCTTTAAAACGCGTATTACATATTCTATATTTATACCAAAACGTTCAAAATAAAGCGTAATAAATTGTGTTTCTTTTCTTTTCTTTTCTTTTCTTTTCTTGCCTTTTTATCTCGAGAACGGGAGCCATTTTTTTTCTGCCAACGAAAAAGAAAAAGGTTCGTTCGGTCGCGAGAGAATTATCTGATTTTGAAAATGTGAGGGGAAAAAAAAATATCGACGAAGAAAGATCGAAAAGATTTGAAATATAAGAACAATATTTCATGGTAAAAGTAATTTGATTCCTTTCTTTTTTTTCTTTTTTTTTTTTTTTTTTCTATGGGATTTTACCATCGTTGTTTTCGGCTCGCGCGCTATTACCGAAATAAAAAGTAAAAAGGGTAGAATAATTTTTCATCGGTTGAAATAAAGAGGAATCCATAAAAAAGTCGTGAGAAAGAGAAAGAGAGAGAGAGAGAGAGAGAGATAGTAACATGTTCTTTGGTGTCTACACTATAATAAGGACTTCCATGAACGTTATCGGATATCAGTAAAGTGGTCAGCGCGGGTTCGTCGTGCTACGAAAAATTTTCAAGCCAAAGGTTCAGGGTGAGATCGGGGCTGAAAAGGGGGTGTTAAGATCTCGACATTCGATACATCCGTTCTCCTATCTTTCCTGTGCGTTTGTATGCGTATAACGTGAAAGAAAAAAAAAAGTAATATAATACGAAGAAGATTGGAATACGAAGAATTAGTTGGAAATAAATAATTAATTGCATTAAATTCTTCGATACTTTTTATATTTAATTTTATAATATAAATTAATTCGTTTCACGATACATCGAAATCGATTATTAAACGAAATAATAATTATTAACATTTAAATTTGTATCATTTAATGATCATTTTTTAATAGGGTTGAGTGTACTTATAAATTTTGATTACCGTTGATAAAAAAAAAAAAAATGGAAAAAATTCTTGATATTGAACCTTATATGTGAATGTGTATAAAGAAATCAATTTTGTTTAAATAATCGAATCGATTTTGGTCGGTTGTCGAAGAAATATCAATTATTATTATTCAAACGGTGGGTTGGTCATTTATCTGTATTAACGTTCGTTGAAAGAGGAAAGGACAATTGACCGTGTAAGTACGTTCATAAATTCATTTCGGAATATATATATCTATAAAGTGATTTCAATGCTTGGAAAGTCGTGTGGTGTTAGGTATACGAATCGAGTTCGATAGAATAGATTCTAAAAATAGTAAGTACTTCAAATCGTTCTTGATTGATCGTTAACCTGTCCCTTCATAATTCATTCCATCATACCATATTGTCATCATACATAAAAATCATTTTTGTTCGTTAAGTTTCACATTTTTAATTAATTAAAAGTATGAAACACAATTGTTAGTATTCTTTTCGTAAAATCTAATATAAGGTGAATTAATTTTTGAATGATCACAAAATAATACAAATTTGTTTCGTTTCTTTATTATTGTTTCCGTAAATAATAATCGAAAGATCTCGATATTAAATTAATAATATATAATATTTAATTATATATTTTATATTTATATTAATTTTATATATATATTTTTTATTTTTTTTTATATTTATAATTTTATATATTATTTATTTTATATATTTCATATATTTTATATTATATTAATTTATTATATAATTATATATTTTATTATAAAAATAATTATATAATATAAATATAATAAATATAACTACAATAATATATTTCATTCGATAATTAATATAAATAAAAATGATATTCGTTAATTAAGATTCAATCTAGTGTTAATTAAGAGCTCGTATAAATCGTACAGTTGTTGTTCCCTCTCTTTTTCTTTCTCTCTTTGGTAATTCTCGATTAGGTGACTCAAGTATTCGACCTTTATCGTGACGATAAAAGTGTTTTCTAACGCTAGTAAGGTTTGTATCTTCTCTCGGACGTTCCGCTAATTAGCACGAGACTCGATTTTGCCGAATATGGAACACTCACAAAAAAATAAATAAACAAAGAGAGAGAGAAAGAGAGAGAGAGAATACTAACATATACTCTAAAACGTAAACTTAGAAGAGTGTATAGTACAGATAAGTGCACCGACCTGTCTGATTCTTGTCCTTATTTGTATCGAATCGTTTGCCGGCGACACGAGCAAATCGATATGGTCGGTAAAGTAACGATGACACGTTTTCCTTTGAGAGTTTATCCTGTTCTTCTACCAAGACACGTTAAGTTTTACGGATAAAACCTATTGAGTAGTTTTATATATATATACAACCTATATATATATACCGTTAAATGATAATACTAGACGAAACGATTCTACTTGACTTTTATTGGATACGAGTTAACCAACTACAGATGATGATGGGTTAAATTTTAGGTCAATAAATTAGTCCTGATATTTGGAATTATACACACGAGTTAATATTTTTATATGGTACAATATTTTTCAGAAGTTTTTTTTTTATTAGATTGTTTAAACAGAAACATAAATTACAATTAGGATGTTGTGTAGAAGAATTGAAATGATTACTTTGATATTTGTATCCTTGGAAATGTATTCAATTTTGTCTGTGTTCATCCATCCTTGGTGTCGTTTTAAAGTGGCCTCGATGAAAGTAAAAGTTCGATTTAGGGTACCCATAAAGTTGAATTACTAACATGCGATTTCGAAGAAACGATTTTAAAGATCGAGATGAGAGAAACAAATCAATTTTATTTGTTGAATTGAATTCGATGGAAGACAGGAAGAGAAGGAGGATGAGTTTAATACGAATGCTCGTAAAGTTTCATTTTACAAGATTCGATTTTATTCAATTAATATATTTAATAATAATTTATAGAAAATCATAGAAAACAAACATAATATTTTATTCATACATTTAAAAAACGCGTATTTATTTTCTTTTATTATTATTATTATTGTTGTTATTATTTAATTGTATAATATTTATTTATTTAATTATGCAATATATATCTACATAATATGATAATTTAACGATTAACACTTTAATGGCCGCTCACACTACATGTGTGTGATAGCCGAAACAACCGTAATTTATTTATAACTTTTAATATATTTAAAATTATATTAAATTAAATTTGTTGTTATATTGTTGTTGTTGTTTTTTTTATGTTAATTTTTTCGTGAATTTAATAAAGTTGTTTAAAAATTAATTTGTCAAAAATATTACCGCGGCCCATAGCGACGTTTGACTGCTTAGATGTGCGGCCATTAAAGTGTTAATATCATTCGATAGATATTTAATTTAAACGTGATAATAATTGTACGTATTATTATTGTACGAGTAATGATTGTTATGCTTGACTT